CCATTTTACAGATGAGGAAATTGAGGCCCAGAGAGGTTCAGTAACATGCCAAAGCTCAGTGGAGGGCACTTGAGGATTTGGGGTTATTTGTTCATTAGGGGTCTTTCTTTTTTGAGTGTTTAATTATTTTAACTGTACCTGTATGTTATATATGCATATTTATAGGATGTGTTTCACAATTTAGAGACCAAACAAAAAAACTAGGCAAGGCCGTATTGGTAAGGACTGGAATCCCTACTGTCTACGCCTTACCAAGCCAATCTCCCCAGGCCTCAGCTTCCTCGGATGTAAGATGGGCCTGATGATGTGAGGACCACAGGAGGGTGTAGCATGGCAACAGAGAACACACGGCCCACATTCCAGGCAGACTCATTTTCTCATCCCAGCAGCCTTGTGAGGTGGGACTATTATTATCCTGTCTTACCGAAAGTCAGCCGGCTTGTGAGTGGTAGAGCCAGGATTTGCATCCAAGCTGGCTGCTCTCTTTGTGCTCTCAGGGGCCACAGTATGGGCCCTGCGGCACCCAGGAGAGCTGGGTCATAGCTCTTTTCCACTTCAGGGTCAGCACAGAGGTAGGTACATAGCCACGGGTCAGGCTGCTCAGCTCTGAGGGGCCACAGGCTCCTCCCACTGGGGGCATCAGCACCCCAGCCTGGCCCGAGATGGCTGCTCCCATCTCTTTCTGGGCTGCAGGACCCCATCTGAGGGAGGAGACAGACTAGCCCGACTGGCGTGCTGCCTGTGGGTGTCCTGTCCTCAGAAGCCCTGAGTGGGGAGAACAGGCAAGGACAGGGAGTGAGGGGCTCCCCAAAGCCAGGACCACCACGCTGAGGACCAAACCTTCATCTGCAAAGTCCTGGAGTGGCCTGGCCTGGGGCTGGGAGTTGTTCCTGCCCTACCCTGTCCCTGTTTCAACCACAGCCTCAGTTGGGGTGGGGGAAGGGAAGTGAGGTCATGACATGAGACTGCAAAGTACTGGAAGAAGTCACAGCTGGGGGGCTCCCCCCAGACACCAACAAATCCAAGCCTCAATGCACAAATAGGGAAAATGAGACTCAGAGAGGGGATGGGTTCTGTCCAGGTCACATAGCCAGTCTGTGTTGGGCCAGGGCCTGGGAGAATGGGAGCAGAACAGGACTTCCTTGACATATCCCAGCCCAGCTCCCAGAGCTAAACAGATGCGTCTCCTGGATCCAGCCAGGGCGCGCGCTCGTGTGTGTGTGTGTGTGTTTTTACAGGAGAGGTTGTGTGTGTGTATGTGTGTGTGTGTGTGTGTGAGAGAGAGAGAGAGAGAGAGAGAAAAGAGAGAGAGACAGCAGAGCTAAGAGCCAGGGCGTGTGTGTGTGTGTGTGTGTATGTGTTTACAGGAGAGGTGTGTGTGTGTGTTTACAGGAGA